TATAAGATAAATGATGATAAGCAAATGAATGATCATCAAGTAATAAATCCCATTGATATTGATAAGGAATTAAAACAAGAACATAATATTTCGTATTATTACGATATATTAAATTATCTAAAAAAGATTAATTTTTTCACAAGTTTTTTTTTTTTTTTAAATAAATTTACCATTATTAAGTAGTCGTTGATGATTAACACCTTGTTCAAATGCATCAACATAAACATGAAGTTCACCAAGAAATTCATTTGGTAGAACTGTACGTTCATGTTGTAAATTTAAATCAAGAGTTATTTTATTGATATTATTTAATAATTTAAGATTATGAATAAAAAATCTTGAATCAGATGTATTAATTAATGATTTATCATATTGAAAAATAGCTGTATAGATTAAAAATGAAGATGAATATTTTATTGCTGTTAGTATTAATTCAAGTATTATTCGATATTTATCACGAAATAGAATTGAAAAATATGGAGAATAATCTAATGAATGTTGAAGAGGTATTAGAAGTTTATTAGGCATTTTATCAAAATTTTTTTCCCAATAATTAAATATACGTTTAATACGTTGTATTAAAAAAATATGTTCGATATTCATTGAATTATAATTTGAAATGGATAGAAGTGAATAAAGTTGATGTATTGAACTAGAATAATATAAAATGAGAAATTAAGAAAAAATATAATCATTTTTTTACTTTATTTTTGAAATAAGATGATAAACAAGTAGAAGTTTAAATCCTTTTTCGATTGGTTCAATTTCATGTTGACAATCAGATGGTACAACAAGAATAAAAGGTTTTGAATTATCTGATTCATGTTGATTAAAAATATAACGATGAATATCATTCTCATCAATATTATCATCTATAAATCGATAATTACCACCTATACAAGATGAAGGTAGAAAAACAAGTACAGTAGCATGATAAATAAAAAGTTTATCGTCAAAATTATAAATTTTTGTATGTTGACATGGACCAAATATGATAAGTTTATGTAAATTTAAATCAAAATGTGTATGTAAATCTGATGTATTTAAATGAAGTTGTTCGAATGTACTTTCTCGAATAGCAGCTGAAAAAGGAAGAGGAAAATCAATTGTATTATGATCAATTTGCCATGCTGTATTAATAATCTATTAAATAAAACAAAGTTCAAAAATAGAACAAAACTTTATTGTTTTGTTTTTTTACTTTTGTACCACAAAAATCATATTTATTTGATAGAGATAATGGTACACCATGTTCACAAATAATTCGAGAACAAAGAGCAGTTGATAATGGAAATGTATAAGATATATCTCCAAGTTTTTTTATACGGATTTTACATGGACTATCGTATAGAAGTGTTCGAACACCATCATCTAATTTATTTTCATGTATATCATTTAATGTTTCATGAAAGATATATCGCCAATTATTCTCGTTTATTTCATGATCTATAATAAATTATTAAATAGATCAATGGAAAAAAACAAAAAAAATTTTTAATATAATGCACCTGATGAATCAATATCTTGATCACTATAGATCCAAGTATCAGTATCGGATAATATGTCTTCGTCATCATTGATGTCCATTGGAGCGGCAATTATAGCCATAATAAGAAATAGAACAATGAAGTTTTTACGAGATAGATAAATCGATGAATTGAGAAGATGAACAAACGAACGTTCGTGGTGGATTTCTATTGATTACCAATCCAATTTAATGACTTTTTTTTTCGAATATAGCGACCTCTAATTCAAACGAAAATAGTCAATAGTATACTACAGTGGCGTAGCCAGGGATAGGGCCATTCAGCAATTGCCCATAGCTCCAAAAGTTATTGCCCATGGATTTATTGAGCTATGCAGTGCTTGAACAGTTATTGCCCATAGATATTTTTGAAATCATAACGGTTGCCCTTAGCTGCCCGTAACTCAAAATAGTTCGGCTGATGAATTGCCCATGACTCAAAGATTCCTGGCTACGCCACTGATATACTAGATACAAAAATTGTTTTGTTTTTCAAATGAAAATATTAACTGAAAAAGATTAGCAGACAATCGATATATTCTCTATGCTGGTAGTATTTACCTGTAGGACTAGACATGAGACAATACAATTATATAAACGAATAATAATTTTAATTATTATAGAAGCTAGATATAGATATTTTGATCATTTGCCTTGCTGTTGTTTGTAAAGATTTCTATGATCGATTTCTTAAATTTAAAATTAAATAAAATCAATAAAAAGAAAGTATACATATTCAAGCAGAGTGATAGAGAACATGTGATCAAACACAACAAATAATAACATGTACGTATACATTGAGTAGTGAATCTTTCTATAATTTGTATTTTAATATTTTGCTTGTATTTTATCATGGATGGTCATCTCATCTTGTGACGTTGCTTTCTTGAATTGAATAATCAAGTTAATGACTAACCAAACTTGACCAAAAAACTTGTGTTCAATCTAGATTATTGAATAAATCATTTTTTCATCCCTAATTCATCTGATCATTATTCAAAATGATGATATTCGTTCAATGACTTTTGTTCGAAATAAAAACTGTTGTCTTAGATAGCAAAATAGAAATGCATACAAGAACAGAAATTACGGCATCACGGACATCGTCACTTGAAAAATATTGAACAAGATTTGCTATCGTCTTCCAAAAATTAGATTAAAGCAAAGTTTCAGAAAGTAAATATTTAAAAAAATGAACACGAAGCTCCATAAAAATGAAGGATATTGAACAAACACTTGTTTACATGCATAAACTTCTATTCTTCACAAATAGTGAATAATAAATAATGTAGAGACAATGTTCTAAAAATAACGGCAAATTAAAATAAAGATTTCCTTATTTCATGGATGCATATGAAAGGAAACATTATTTTGAATATCTGTAAATCCACCTGCACCTATAGAGATTAATGTATTTGATGAAGGTGATCCCAGATCAAAATAAGAAATTTTATCGTATGTTTAAGAAGTGTAAACTATGATTTTTTGAAAAATTTGAATACCTTTTAAATGTTTAAGACTTAAACTATGATTTTAAAGGACAAAAATTTTTATTCCTTTTTGTGAAATAGTAACACATCAAATAGTGACAACGATGTAAATGCTAGAAGGCTAGATAGAATAACATTCATTATTGTGTTTGATACCATTCTTATGATTGAAGTAATGGCATTACATGGATTAGTCGATCCGTTATATGTAGTAGAATTATTGATATATATGTATATAAAAATGAACGTTGAAACTTTTCATTTATAGAAATATGGTCATCATCAGTTTTTCATGAAGTTAGAATTCATAATTATCTAAAGAAAAATTAAAATAGCCTTACATAGTAGACGATCAAAGTTTTTTACAACTGTGAAGTCAAAGAATCCCTAGTAGAGGAAGAATCGAAGCAGATAAAGAAAAGAAGAAACAAGACTAATTAATATACATGAACATCGTGAAACAGTGCTGTGTTCTAATCTTATTACAACAACAATTCATATTGAAACAAGTAAAAGAATATAGAATAGTTAACGTTCGAGAACTACTTGTCAATAGAATTTCACATAGAAAGTATTACTAACGTAGTCAAAAGCAACCAACGAGTAGCTCATCAAGAATGAGACACTTTGATCTTCTTCCTTTTGAAGACAGCAACACAATTTAAAGGTGACATTCTGAACTTATTCAATAGAGAATTTTCTGTTCTACAAACTTGGTGATTTCGTACTTCAAATAAGTTGTCTTCTGTTATACAAAAATCGAAAAGATTGACAGCAACTTAGCCATTGAACTACGACTACCAGAAAACAGAGCAATTATTAAAACTATGTTTAAATAACAGTTTCGTCGATATTCGAAATATAATGCAAGATACTTTATCTCTCAATATTTCGCAACTTCAGAACACAACAATTGAAAGACGAATTTTTCAAGCAGATAAGAGAAAACAATTCCAAAGACTCTTTCCGACAGTTCTATGCTATAATTTGTTGTTATAATTCAACACAATCTAAAGATTTTCGTTGTTCGGCTTTAAATGTGACACATCATTTTGTTTTGAATTCAGTTCTGCATACTATGATATAGTCATAAACCATTCATAGAGCACGGTAACATTTCAAAGCACGAGTAAATCAACCGAGAATTATGCCTTGAAACAGTGTTTTCGTTTTTGAGAAACAAACAATCAAACTGTTCGCATACTTTTGATTTGTTTCTAATGTTGCTAAAATAATTTTAATAAATAAAAACGATCAGACATCGTTGATCTAAATTGTCAAATATGCAAGGATGCGACTTTGGAGGAAACCACGAGTGTAAGGTAGGAGAAGGAGTGATCATATTAGAGAAATTTTCTGAAAATATGTAGGGATACCAATGCCAAACTGTTTAAAGTGACTTGGATGATGAAGAACTTTTCTTTTTCAATGAACACTTTTTTCTAAATTGAAATATTGATTTTAAATGTGAAAAAATGATAATTTTCTTATTGTAAGACTCCACACATTTTTACAAACACTCATCATTACATTCCTAAGATATAAACATCCATCCGATTGATTTCAAAAAGTATTTAAAAATACTGTACAAGACTTTCATCAATCATTTTTATTTTCTATGTTATTAGTTTATATCTTCATCTTTTTTTCTTCATCTTTTTTAGAATTCAAATAGTATAAATATGATTAATATTTCTCTCATATACTTTACTGAAAGTTTCTGAAATAGATACTTGAAATTCTGTGCTTACTTATATATTTTATAGACTTATAAATTCTTTTGTGATTACGAGACACAGAAAATACATGACAAAAAAAAAACGAACACGAACACACTTGTAAAGCAAGCAAAAAACAAAATAACAAGAGATTAATGACCATGTGTACACAACATTGAAGAAACATTAAGACGAAAAATACAAATACATCAACAACATTACTAGTATGTTGTTTAAATTCATTCAAAAATATTTGACAATTTAAAATTATATTTCATTTGGTGCATCAAGATCTTCATAACTTCTTAATGGTCGATTACTTCTAAAATGAATAAAGAAAATATTAAATAATATAATAGAAAAAAAATAAATAATAATAATTGTTTTCTATAGTATTAATTTTATCTTTTCTTAAAAAAACAAGAATTAAATAACTTACGGTGGTCGATGAATTGGACCACCAGGAGGTCCACCGATACCTTGATACATAAATGGTGGTCTTGGATGACGAATTTGATGAAATTGATTCGGATAATAACCCGATGGACCAGAATGAGGAGGTGCAGTCACTAAAATATATATAAAAAACGTTTTTCTATTAATAATAAATTGTATTGGCATACTAGGAGGCCATATAGGAGTACGTGTAAGTAATGGTTGAGCAGCCATTGGTGTTGGTAATGGTAAACCAGATGTATTTGGTCCAGTTGGTGTTGCTCCAGGTTTATTTGATGGATGTTCTGGTAATTGTGGTCGTTTCGGATCATATAAATAATTGTTAAAATAAATAACCTAAACAAACAAAAAAACAAAAAAGAAAGAAAAATATTTTACTATTCGAATAAATTTATTACTTCTTTTTTAACTTCATCAAGTTTATCTTGATGTTTATTTAAAATATGTTTACGAACAAATTCTGGACCTTTAAATTTTTTTCCACTTAATGGACATGACCATTTATCTTTACTAATTTCTTGACAATTTATATTAATAAATTTTTCTATTTCATTTTCTTCATTTTTTGCACCTAATTTTAAAGCTTCATTATTATCTAATTTTTCATGAAAATCAATCAATGTTTTTAGACGTATTTCAAATTGTTGTATAAAATTAGTTAATTCATTTTGTGTTATTGAAGATAATGGTATACCACGTACATGTATAACACCACAACGATTTGGCATTGAATCTTCTTGAGTATATTCAGTACCATTATAATAATCAACTGAATGAACAACACGTAAATATAAAATTAAACGATCTAATACCTTTAAATTAAAATATAAAAAAAAACAAAAATATTCATCAATTAGTTTATTTTTTTTTGTTTTACTTTAGTTAATTCTTTATCAATTTCAAATGTATTCGAATTATTTTGATTTATTTTTGATATATTACCAAGTAATTCTTCTTCTTCTGTATCATCTTCTTCAACAAGATATTCAGTTATATTTTTTAATAATGGATTATAACTAATAAAACCAATTGGATGTTTATTTTTTATCAATGATATATTCATTGTTGATGATGATATTTCACTATCATCTATTATTAATGGAGTTGTTTTTGTAATATTTTTTTCATTTGTTTCCCAAATATTCCATCGTTCATCAAATTGTTTAATAATTTTTGTTATAAGTCGAATATCATTACGTACAATAGTTTTATGATTTCCAATACCATTTATTGTACGAACACGATTTTTAAGTTCACGATTTATTATAGCACTCATATCAACATCATGTATCTATGAGTAAAAAACAAATGAAATTTTATTTTTATATCGAAATATACTTTTGTAAGATTAAGTTCATAACAAATATTTCGAATTTGAATTGAATGATCGAATGTAACCCAAGCACGACGAGAAAATTTTCGTTCAGGTGCAGGATCAGTTATACAAACACGACGAAAACCGGCATATTGTTTACATATCTAAATTAAATGAAAATCTTTTTTTTTTTTATTTGAAAAGTGTTGAAAATTATTTTTTTAAACATTTTCAAGATCATCTTTTGTTGTTTGTATTGGTAAATGACGAAAGAATATTGATGATGTTCGATGTAATAATCGTGATGTATCAGATACTTCACCAACTTCATGTTCATTATTATCTTTTGATTCAGCTAAAAAAAAAAAAGAATTTTTAATAAAAAAAAAAACAGATAACAATTGAAAATAACTTACAAATTAATAATCTATTATCACCATCAGATACAGTTCCATCATCAGATTTACTATCTTCACGTTTTCTCTAAAAAAAAAAATTATAACAAAAAATTCATTGTTTAGACATGAATTTCATTATATTACTTTATTGTCAGAAGATTTTTTCGAATTAATTTCATTATTATCTATTTTATCTGTAGATATATTTTCATCGTTTGTATTATTTAATGATCCCATAATATCAAGTACACGAAGATCCTGATCATTTCCACCTTCCATTTTGATAACAGCTGTGTATAAATAGAAAAAGGTTGTTGAACTCTATTGTTAAATTCCGTATCTATGTATTAATATACCAATGAACAACACTAGGAACAAGATAGGCTTTTTTTTTTCGTCAACAATAAAATTCCTTTTCTTATTTTTTTAATTAAAATAAATTATATCAAAGACCAGAATTAACTAGAAAATTTTAAAGCAAACAATATGTTTTTTATTATTATTTTTTCACTCATTGTATTATGCAAAAAAAGCATGCCACATACAAATCAAAAATGATTGGCATAGTGTGAAGACAATTTCATAAACAATCATAGTTAACCATTAAATAATTCCAATTGTCACTACTCTAGATCCTTATGTATGCAATGCTATCGATAATAGACTATATGATTTAATAACGTTGAAAAACTATAATTCATTAATTGCTGACATAAGAAAAGGAATTCGTCGTTTACGACAAAAAAAACTCGATCTTAATCACAACATCCAAAGCTAATCAAACAGAATTTAGTCTATTTTAATAATGAAAGATACATTGATTAAATAAACTTTGCTTTTTATATTGTAGAAGGTTGTAGACTATGTCTTATGGTCTATTTTATTTTTTTTTTAAAACGTATTCACAGATACAGATGCGCAGTGTCAGATTACTGAACACCGATGACCTATGCATCACTGACGCACTGACACATTAATATTAACTGTGATTCATAAGCGAAGTATCATAACATCTGTCAGATTATGAAACCTTGTTTCACTGGAAATTTCTTTATTTGTTTTCTCTCTCCCTGTTTTCCCATATTATTACGTTATACACAGAGTGATAAGAAGAGTAGAAAAATTTCAATAGTTAATCAGGAAAAAACCTCGTACACACATCTACCTAAGATCGAGAGCATAACATAGATAAAATATTATTATACGTAGGACATTCTCATCGGATGAGAGATCATATCAACTGAATAGTTTATGAAATGTATTTCTTACAGATGATCCTATTGAATGGCAAATTCTGTGAAAGACGACTAAATATTGTTTGTTTATCACTATGCTGTATCTATCGATCATTTGTTTTTTTTGTGCCTTTTCCTTTCATCTTCTCTGTTCGCTTCCAACGATTATTTTATTTCATTTTTTTTTCAAGTTCTTTAACTTTCTTAAATACCATTGAACATTAGAAGGCGAAGGTGTGAATGTGCGTACACGTATTTAGTATTCATTTAAAAAGTTGTTTTATTGTACAGATAACTTTTTTTTGTTATTTATTACAATATATATAATTGATCATCTTTAATATGCATTTTATTTATCTAACTCTTCGACGAAGATATATTATTCTTCTTTTTCATATTTCTAACAAACAAAATCATTAATTTTAAGAACATATATTACATTATTATATAATAATTAATTACAAAATGTCATTTTCATCAGTGATCCGTGATGCATAAGTCATCGGTATTGTCACTGACACCTCCGATTCCTATCCAAAGATCACCAAGATTGAAAATCTAATGAAAGTTTTTATTGGAAATCTATGTATAAGAAAATAATAAAAAACAGTGAAAGAAAATTAAAAAAAACTTTTCAAGAGTATAGATCAACCTTTTCCTCGTGAAGAAACAAAAAAAAGATATGGAACGCAGCTATATTTTATAACTCGCCTTCTATTCATAATAATCTTTAATATGATATCCATTGAAAAACGATGAAATATAGAATACTATTAAATTCAAGGTATTTTTTACGACTGTATCTGTCCTATCATCACTACAATGGATATACAGTAAATAAATATATATATATCATACCAGCATCAAGAAATCTTATAAGTGCTTGTTGATTATCAATATCAACACTAACATTATTCAAATATCCTTTATTATAAAGATCCATAAAAATTTCTAAACGTTTTTTAATTATTTGTTTTTGTTCTTGACGACGTTTTAAATATTCATCAGGATAATATTTATATTTAAACCTAAAATAAAAATTTTTAATATAAAATAATTCAACGAAAAAAAAAACAATTTCACGAACCATTCTTCATTTTTATGGCTTGTAAAAAATTCGGTTATTTGAGTTTTTTTAAAATCTATTTTATAATCATTATAACGTTTAACAGCTTCTTCTTGATCAATATTATCATCTTGATTGAGAAGAAAATTTTTAAAACTAAGCATTGGTGGTTGTGTTGCATTATCAGATGATTCTCTAATAACAACAAGTAAATATTCTTTTATAGAAAATAATACAAAAAAAAAAATCTTACTTATTCAATTGATCAGTAGTCGATTGAATATTTGATGGTTGAAAATTTCCTCCACTAGAAGAATATGATGAACTTATAGTTGAATCAAAATGAGATGGTGATTGATCAAGACCTTCCCTAGGAAGAAACAAAAAAAAAACAAACATACGATTTCATTAAAAGAATATAATTAATTTTTTTACCAATCACGTCGAATACGTTTATTTTGTGGTGGACTCATAGCTGGACTTCGATTGTATCTTGATGGAAAATCACGTCCTAATAATGGACCACTGGGATATTGTCTTCGAAATTGATTTGATCGATCTCTAAAAAAAAATAATTGTATAAGATTATTGTTTATCAAATATAATTTTACCTTCCATCATTCCATTCTCCACTATTACGATTATTATTTCCTCGATTTCCACTAAAATCATCACGTTCACGACGAAATTTATCACGATTTCGTCGACTATCAAAATCATCATCGCTATCACCCATTTTTTTGATCTATAAGCAAAAAGAAAAAGTCATATATATTATTTTGGATGTAGTTTGCTTCCAATCAAATATATCCAATAGCTAGCGACCTCTTTTTTATCAATTTATTAGTAATGGTTATCAAATCCAACCATTGAAACGATTTCACAACAACTGATTAATTTTTTCCTAGGGAAATTCCAACAGTAAAGATATATATAAACAGTGCTTCTTCACAATTATTCTATCATTTGTCTTTCTTTTTATAATATTGTTTGCTCAAGACTATAAAACAAACTTATATTTAATCAATGGCTTCAATGAACATCGAAAATAAAAATGAAGAACATATTACAACATCAATTGAAGAAAAAATTTCAATACCAGAATCTATTTCAACTCATGAACATTCTGAAACATGTAATGATCCAACACATCAACATAATCATCCATCATCTATGAATTTGAATGATTTAATTTCATCATTATCTCCTGTAAAAACTGAAAGATCAGTAAAAAAAAAATCTAAGAAAAATGGAAAACATACTTCTATACGTGCTGAATCAATTCCCGGTCATCGTGGTAATGAAAATATTGATGATCTTGTCAATTTTATTAATGGTTTATCACCAATAAACAATAAAAAAAAAACCGACAATAACAAGAACTAGCTAGCGATACGTGTACATGTTTTTTTTTTTTTATTATTTTTCTTGATAAAACATAAATATAATAAATCTTATTCTTAAACATGAAAACAAAAAAAAAACAAATTTACTTTTCTAAGAATATAATTAATACTATGGAAAATTATAATACGATTAAATAAGAAACAAAAAAAAAAAATCACTGTTCTATGAGAAAAAGAATTTTGTCAATTTCCTTTATTTTTATTTTTTTTTTATGGTAAAATTTTTCATTTTTTCGTATTCTTCTTTTTTGTTTTACCACGTGTTGATGAACTTTTCTTTGAAGACGATGATTTTGATGAAGATTGTGGAGGAGATTCTTCAGTAACAATTGTATTTGATGTACTTTCTTCTTCAGGATTATTTATTTCATCTTCAACCAATTGCATAAAATCTGCTTGATGTGTAATACTCTTAAGTGCCAATTTGACAATGTTATAGCTAAAAAAAAATAACAAACAACCCTTTGAAAAGCATTATAATACTAGAATAGATAGTTTATTCATAAACTTTCTACAAAAAATCGATAGAAAATAATTTTTGAAGATTAACTTTGAATAAGTCTATTACACTGATCAAATTAGGATACTACCGGAAGTAATGTCGGCGCCAGAATGAAAGAGGGGTGGATATAAATTTAATAACTCAACAACGGCAATAGCTACCGAACTGCGGTTTTCACCAATCGAAAGAAGAGGAGTGGGCACGTCTTTTTTTCTGATAATGTATAAGACGAAATCCTTTTAAAACTAAACATATTCGAAAAACCTGAAAAAAGAACCCATGAAATGACCTGGCAGCTGCATGAAATGTTAATTTTGACCTTTGATTTAGATAGAGAGACTTCAGATCTATAGCTCAAAATACAATACAAATGGTTGTCTTATTATATTCTAACGCTGAGCAAATGGGATCATGCACTTACATGCGCAAATAATAGGGCATTTTGCTGATTTTTTCGCAATTTTCCCACTGTTTATCCTAGTAGCCTGAGATTTCGATCGAAATGTAAGAAAAAGTAAGAAAGCGCATTGTGTCTTGAACTAAAGATCTGAAGTCCCTCTATCTAAATCAAAGGTCAAAATTAAAATTTCATGCAGCTGCCAGGTCATTTCATGGATTCTTTTTTAGGTTTTTCGACTATGATTAGCTTTAAAAGGATTTCGTCCTATACATTATCAGAGGAAAAGACGTGCTTACTCCTCTTCTTTCTATTGGTGAAAACCGCAGCTCAGTAGCTCTTGCCGTTGTTGAGTTATTCAATTTATATCCACCCCTCTTTCATTCTGGCGCCGACATTAGTTCAAAACTTACGAGCTGTTGTTTTACTCAGAAGTTGACTGAAGTAAGGCTAGATCAAACTTACAACGATAAAAACTTATAGGTAGAGGTGTAAGTCGAGGGGTCAAACGGCGGTGGCTGTTTTAATGGTCTAATTTTTTTTCCATGGCGGTGGCGCCTACTAGACTTCATTTTTTTCTGCACCGGCGGCGGCTTTGACAACGAAAAAAACGACGTTTTTGCTCCTAAAATGCGAGAAAATGACCGATCACATATGTATCGATGTCAATGGCGGCGGCGCATCATACTATTATCAAAAATTTTCGCTCGTGGCGGCGGCGCAACAGCTGAACTAACTTTTCCCAGCGGCGGCTAAAAAATTCGTAAAACTATCTACGATTTCGGGGCGGCGGCGCAACAGTTGAACTAACTTTTTCACAGCGGCGGCGGCTAAAAAAATTGTAAAACTATCACGATTCCGGGGCGGCGGCGGCGCAGCTGGATGGCTTACACCTCTACTTGTAGGTTTTTCTTCTCAACATATTTAATAGATTTATCAAATAAAACATTACAAAATTTCAATATTTTGTCATAGGTAGTAACTGAAACAATAATGGTTATGCCTTGAGAAACAAAGTCTATAGATTCTCATGTTTTTTTTTAATCTCATTGGACTCGGCTTATTGGCGTAATGTCATTATGAACGTTTCGAAATACTTAAAAAAGATTTCGTCATGAGTTATCACTCCGATAATGTTCTACACTTAATCTTAAATGTCTAATTTCTAAAATTCTTATTATTATGAATTTTTTCTATAGAAATTTAGGAAAATATTCATCGATATTGATTCTATAAAAATTCTTAATTTTTTTCTTATATATTAAAAAAATTGATTAATACTTTACCATCGTACGAATTGTTTCTTTTTTTTATGCATAAATGATTTAAATATTCGAAGATTTCTTTCATGCCATTTAACTTTAGTATCTAAACGTTTAACCATTGATCGATTCATACTTGTTTCAAATTGTAAACGAATATTTGTCCAATTTATATTTGATTCATTTTTATTATGTATTTTATAATCATTTGGAAGTTCTAATAATTCATGAAGTGTTTTATCACGTAATTGTTCAAATACATTTTCATATGATAAACGAACAAGATCAGCTTCTTGTTTATCACTATGTAATGGACGATTACGATCAATTGTTTCATTAAGTAAACGATCAGTTAAATTATAAAATCGATCCCATAAATGAACAATATCAGCATCCGATTGATTCAAATAAACATACATATAACATGATGGTGTTGATGAAATTGTATAAACTAAAAATAGAAACGAATTTTTTTTTTTTTTTTAAACAAAAAAATTTCTATTAAACAAACCATTATGATAGTCTCCACTTGGTACAGATATATTTTGTCCAACATTTAAAGTTATATTTCTTTGTAAACTTATTAATTCAACAGTAATTTCACCTTCAAGTACTTCAATAGTTGTATTTAAATCTGGTGGTATATAATTTTCAAGAAAAAGACCTTTTTAAAAAAAAAATAAAATTATTGGTTTTTTTTTAATCGAATTCATACCTGGAAAATCAGCAACAAATGTAATAAGAACATTTTGATCTTTACTTGATAAATCATTTTCAATTTGTAACATACGTGTTCTCCAATCACTTAAATTTGTTAATAATGGTTGTAACCATGATGTATCTTTAAATGGACTCCATTTAACATCTGATGAAAGTAAATCAATACGTGGATCAATTTGTCGTTGATTAAAACGTCCATTCATTGAACGCCATATATCAAAATGAAGTTCAACATCATCATAACCATGTTCTTTTAATTTTCCTTTTATACATTGAGCATATTGAACTAGACAAAAAAACAAAACACCATTAAATATCTGATTTTTGTTTTTTTTGTGATAAGTATTTACCAATCATATCAGCATGTGAACTCCATCGTTTTGCTGATGCCCATGCTGTTGGTTTTAAATAATGAGTTTCGTTATTAGTTTTATCAATAAAAGTTATTTTCACATGTTGACTATTTGAAAACAAAAAAAAAAAAGAAAAGCTGTTAGCGCAATTCCTTGCGGGATTAAAAATGTGAAACACGATGGATCTATTGTTACTAGTTAAATGGAAATCGTTTTGTTCCATTTCTTTGCAATACATTTGTAGCCAACCGTTTATCTAATGCTTTAGAACTACGGCTTCTCTGTCACGGTCTGTGATAGGTTCCAAGCCCTGTCTGTGACGGGTCACGCGAGTGTCTGTCACGGTCTGTGACGGGGGGGGGGTACAAATTTCTACCCCTAAACACTCCTTTCTGATCGTGTTTCACAAAATCAATACAAATTAAACAAAAATTTGTCTTACGTATGCCAACTGTGTATCATCATATCCCATGAATAGCCATATAAACCCTAGAGCAACAAAAAAAAAAATATATTTTTTTTTAACATCAAAATAAATTTATTGTATCAATTTACATTAGTCCAATTATTATAACCTTTAGTAATAAAATGTGAATAAGGTAAAAATGCTTGTTCAGTAAGATAAAGTACTGCAAAAATTGTCAAAATTTTATGACGTAATGTTGCTTTAATTGGTGCATTTTTAATTGAATTAGCATTAGCAATAGCTGATTTTAATGATTGATTTTTAGTTTCTTCGGGTTTAATTTCTTCTTTTGAATATAAACATGATGAACTATATTGTATTGGTTGATCTTTATATAAATATTTTGGTATAAAACGATTTATAAATTTTCGTAACCAATCATTATGAAAAAATATTGGAATTGTAGCAAGCATTGTATATGGAAACATACCTTAAATTAATAATTCATTTTTAAAAAACAAAAAAAAGACAAATTTTTAATTTAAAGAATTTATTTACCAATATTAAACATTTGAGAATTCATTATATGAAAACTAACACAAAAAATAATTCCGATTGGTCGTGAACTATCGAAAAAGAGTGCAAAACCAATAAATAAATCAAAGAGAAGACCACAAACATGTACGAGAATTAAAGTAATCTGTTCTATAGTCATAAATGTTCTAAAAAACAAAAAAAAAACATATTTTTTGTTTAATTATTACATATTCAATTTAAATTATCTACCGAAATGGTAAAAATACCCAATGATCACCTAAGGAATCCATAGAATATCCAGCAACCCAATCCCATTCGGTTTTTTTTAAACCCGCAATAAAATAAACAATAAATACTTGATATCGAATTAATGTATAATTCCATAAAGGTACATGTGAATTTCGAATTTTTTTTCGAAATAATCCATCAATTGACCTATAAATATAGAAAATTTTATTTTAGAATTTTCAAATAAATACAAAAAAAAAAATAAAACAAATGTTGAATCAGAAGAAGAAATAATGTGTGCAAATAAAACAGAAAAAAATCAAAATTGCTATGATTGATTTTGTTTCTTTTTAGCCCAAATGAATTTAGTATAAGAGAAAACAAAAAAAAAACATCACTCACTGACATTTACTTAATCCTGAGTTTTTTTTTTTTCTATAAAATATAAAAAATACATAATTCTTTTCGTTTTATCTTATTTATAATCAATATATATATATTTTGTTTGAATTAGGAAAAAAGAAAAATACACAAAAGTTTACCAATAATGATGTGCATCAAAAAATATCAATTGAAAACCAATTAAACCATATAAATAAGAATGATTATTCCATGATGTTTTATCAAGAAGAAAAACATACCAATATGTTATTGTAAAAAATATTGTTGCACAACGATAAAATAAACCCAATGTAATACCAACAGCACCTTTAAAAAAAAATAAAAATATTTGAAAAATAAAAATAATAAATTCATACTGAGAAACATAATGAAATAAACAATAACCATATATTCAGCACGAAATGGTTCAAGAAAATTAAATAATGGAAATTGACATTCTTTATCTTCATTTGGATAATAAATATCAGCATGAGACATGCCACGTTCTTGAGGAATATCCAACATCATAAGAATACCTAAAATAAAGAAAATTTGAATTAATACAAAAATTAGAACTACAACAATATTAAACGATATGTTTTGTTTTGTTGATTGGAACAAAAAAAAGATAGAAGTGACACTTTCTATTAAGTTTGTAAAACCATCTAGCAAGAAAAATAAAACCGACTAACGATGTACAAAACAGGGCTCCGAATGGGCCGGCCCATGGGCCGTCATGGACCGAAAGTGTTTTGGAAATTACTGTGAGACAAAAGGAGTTGAAAAGTCTTTTTGAGAAGATTCTATGAGACACTAGCTCTGTGGTTTCGTAGGAACTGCGTTTTTTGAACTAGGTCGTTTCTTTTCACAGTTAGGATTCTTTTTTTGAAAACTTTTACACATATGAATCTATAAACACTATAAATTTTCGAAAGAGAGCTCTGACTCTTGACAAAAACAACCTACTTCTAAAAATGCCGTTTCTACGAAACCACAGAGCTAGTGTCTCATAGAATCTTCTCGAAAAAACTTTTCAGCCCCTTTTGTCTCATAGTAATTTCCAAAACACTTTCGGCCCATGGACCGGGCCATTCGGAGCCCTGGTACAAAACAAGCAAAGCGCTAGTACTACTATGTAATTAATTTCACATTTTTGTCTCTTGTCCTTAGAAAAACTAACGAGGGAACATCGCCAACTGTTCAATCCCTTTTGAGTTCAGACTTTGTGCAAAAGATAGACCCCCGTGAGTTATGAAAAACCTCAAAAGATTAAATCTTCTTAGGCCTTCTGTCCAAAGTTATAGGCATTTTATTGGGATTTTAGCCTATGATATGGTATATACCAATAAATCGAATGACGGTATTTCGACCTGGGATTTTGCCCATAGGCAGGTCTATTTGTGAGTAGAGTACCCTGAAAATTTCAGCTGAAAAGAATGTTTCCTTCCCGAGATATTTAAGTCTCAAAAATGACTCATATACCAGAAAAGATGCTAAAATTTTCTGTTTTTTGGGACTTAAATATCTCGGAAAGGAAACATTCTTTTCAGTTGAAATTTTCAGGATATTCTACTCATAAATAGACCTGCCTATGGGCAAAATTCCAGTAAAATGCCTATAACTTTGGACAGAAGGCCTAAGAAGGTTTAATCTTTTGGGGTTTTTCATAACTCACGGGGGGTCTATCTTTTGCACAAAGTCTGAAGCCAAAAGGGATTGGACAGTTGGCGATGTTCCTTCGTAAGATAAATTTGATATAATCAAAATAGAATAGAATCATGTTTATAACGATGATTCTAGTTTTGTTTTTTTGTTTTTATTCATACCAAACAAAATACGTAAAGCAGCTAATGAACTAGGATCTTCTGGACGATTCATTAGTTTAATAAAACTTGACCATGATTGAAAATCAGCCAATTCAAAACCAAATAATCGCTGCATTGTCGATATTTCTTGTTGCTTTTTTGGACCCATTTTAATGACTTATCTTAAATAGAGAAATATAAAAATGAATATTTTGATTATATATTCATTGTTAGATTATTTCTCTAAGAAATAATATCCTGATATAAATGCAATTAAAATATTCTATATATATATACATATTTTAAAATAAATACATAAAAATCGATAATTTCTACACTATATACATTTTTCTGTTAATAAATAACATGAGATTTAACTTAAGAATTTCAAGCTCATTTTATCATCAGCATCAATACGTTCAAGTGTTTTACAAAATTCTTCAAATGTGATTGATCTATCACCATCTTTATCCTATAAAAAAAATCAACAAATAGCAAAAAAAAGGAATTTTTTTAAAAAAAAAATTATATTCAATATACCAATTCACCAATTGTATGATCAGCTATTGTTGCTATTTGATCATCATGTATATTACCACCAACCATCATTTTAAGAACATCAAGTAATTCATTTCGATCTATTTTCATATCATGATTTCGATCATACATCTAAATAGCAAAAAAAAATAAACATATGATTTTTTTTTTTTTAATTTAATTTAATTTTCTTTTAATTAATAATTTACATCAAATAAAAATCGAAGTTTACTTTCTCGTGTATTATATTCTGTTATAGATGATTTATATTTTGCTTGTCGAAATTTTGCAAGAAGAAAAATAAATTGTTTAAAATTAATTTTATGATTTTCACCATAATCTTCCATAATAACATCAATTAAACGTTCACCTAATGGATTAATATTAACTTCTGGTATACATAAAAGATTTTCACGTGTTAAATATCCACAATCACGTTTATCTAATGTTTTAAAACGACTATATAAACGTTGAACTTGTTTAACAGTAAAACCTAATTAAATAATAAATATCATAATTATTTTCTCAGATGCACAAAAAAAATATATCTTGAAGATAGTTGATGACTTTTCTCATCCGTCAATTACAAATACTTATCTCATATATCTTCTTTGCTTTCTTCTACTCTATTTGGCTTATATAGGATGTATTAGTGTGAAGATGATTTACATACTTTTCAACAATAATCTGTCAAGAACAATCGACAAATTAGATGATTAAGATAATGGATTGTCTAGTGATCAAGAGTGAATGAAGAAAGCAGAAAAAAAAACAACATTTTAGATAATTAAATCATGAAAAACGTTATTAAACTATAGATTTATAAAATATTTTATACGAAATTTTAACTAATAGATATCGTCTAAAATTGAAAATCGATTATATTTTTTAATCTCTAATATCGAACGTTATTTATTTATTTATTTATATTAAAATAAAAGATATCTCTAATTTTCCACAAATATATTGAAGTGAAGAAAGCTATGAAAAAAATAAAATAAAAAAAATCTACTTCTATATGATTCACAATAATATTTATTCAAGACAAAATGTATTATTTTATGCATCTCATCGATTTCTGTTTATAGAATTCAATGAATCAGAAAATTAACATTTTAATATTTAATCAAGTATTTAACCTAATGATATATATTCAATTGAGGTAAAAAAAATAAAGAATTTTTCTTATCAAAATCTCATTTGATAATCTTAATATTTTGAATATATTCTCGAATGAGATTTTTATATTTGCATTATGTATAATTTTAACAAAAATTCATCGCTATGAAAAGAAGAATTCATATCTTAATCATTAGTAAAAAGAAAAAGTCTTTAATCTATATCATGTTATCAACTAACCTGTTTGTTGACAAATATTCTGCAAATCTTCTTGTTGAAGCATAATACTTGCATTAGAACCCATCGTGATAAAGAATATTAATCTAAAATGTATAGAAATAACTAAAGCAAACATACTCATGTTGAAGTGGAATCAAGCCAAAGGCTTATGACCTCTTACATCAGTGCAATGTGCATAACGTATGACTATCAATTAAATATTCAATGCAGTATATAAATCGATTTGTTCATGTAGTTATTAGTTTTTTTTTTTTTTTTGTTAAATGTTGTTATCAAATGAAGTAATACAAAAGAATCATCAAGAATTTTGTTCGTTAACAAGAAGAGAAAAAAAAACTTAACAATTAATAACAACAAGTTCGAAATAAAAAGGAAAGAGAGCTATGCTTTGCGATGTAAAGAAAGCACAAAAAAAAAAACATTCACTCTTCCGATTCACCTGGTAAACGAATATCATCAATTTTAAGAATCATTCGGACAAGTTGAGTTGCTAAACTTATCTGTTGTTTTTTACCAATAAGTGTTTCAATAACTGATTGACTTTTCATATCTAAATAAATAAAAATATTATATATATATATATATATACAAATATAAATAATAATTAAACTTACCATTCGTTCCTTGATTAAGACAATCAATACCTAACCGTGGGTTATTTTGAGCTATTTGTTGTGATTTAACATCAGATACTATTTTTATTGGTGAAAAACCACTATTTTCAGCTAATGCTAATGGTACTGATTCAAGTGCATCAGCAAATGCTCGAATAGCATACTGTTCAATTGTAGGTATCTATAAATAAACAAATTATATTAAAATATGAATTTAAATTTAAATTTATGCTTCAAACCTGATTTGCTTCTTTTGCAACTTCAATAGCACATGATATTTCACATGCACCACCACCATAAACAATTCGATTGTCACGTACAAGATTTCTTACGACACATAATGCATCATGTAAAGCACGTTTTGCTTCTTCAACAACCTAAATTTACATATGTTAAAAACAAAACAAAAACGAACGATTCTTGAGTCATGCAGTATATTCAGATAATTAAGAACTGTTGAAAATGATCTCAATTATTTTTACCTTAGACATATATTGAAATCAAGATGACGTATATTTTACAAAATCAATTTTCAATAGAGTACATAAAAATTTTTATGAAGATTGTACATATACAAATGAAATTTTTGTTACGTTTTCAAAGCCTAACTGTTTAATAGTTCTCCAATAATTGCATTTCATGCAGAACTTTCTTTTACTCATATGTATAAATTCAGGTAACATACTATTCAATGAAAAACAACTACAGCTTTCTAAAGTAAAATATAATAAAAGAACGAATAGATTCGTCATTTGACTGTATCTATGTTGACTAAAACGCAATAGACTTTTCTTACATCCATCTAGCTTTGATTAGATGTCAGCACGACACAGCTGTATTTTATGTCAATTGCTAAGATTAATCAAGATATATAGAAGTATACTTCAAGTGACATATGCCAAAGCTATTTCTGGTAGTGCAGTAACAACACTTTTCATTTCTGAGTATATTTCAAAACTGCATAATTTCGTATAAAATTTTGATACCTACAAGTATAATATTGTGAGATTGAATCAGCCTCAAATATTATTAATAATAGTTGTAATTCAATACAGTTACAGGAGAGAAATTCGAAACAGTTTTTGGAATATTATCGCAGCAGTTGTAATCAATACCGCTGATTGAAGATTTATGGGATGAAATTTCTTTGATCCTAGTTGAGAGAATATTTATCATGTTCTATTTATAAAAACTTTTTTAAGCTTTTTTCTTTGGATTTTGTCTCTTAAACTATGTTCTAATTGATGTGATACATAAGATAGTTCACTTTAAGTCAAAGAATATTCTTTAGTTCCAATCACTGTGATCGCAACTAAAATTAAACTCGCAAATCTCTATCTATGACACATGTAGTTAATACAGATTCTTTTTTTAGAAACATGATCATAGAGAGTTTCAAAAACTGTTAGTACATCTTTTCAAAATTGAGAAATTATTTTAATAACATCAGAAACAAATATGTTTGGATTATGAAAATTTCATCTATATCAGACATTATTCCCGATTTTTTTTTGGTATTTGCTATTTCCTGAACATATATGAGTATTAAAAAATTACCATTTTATTGCCGCCACGAACAAAAATAGTACATGTATTGGATTTTGCACATTCTTCAATACATAACATATGATCACTTGTTGTACCAAAATTAAGTTCATATATATGTCCAGCATGACCTAATTTTTCTGCTGTAAGTTCTTGAAATCTTGGTACAATTCGACCACCTGTTGCAATAGCAATTAATTCAATTTCTGGTCCACCAACCCAACGTACAGCTGGTAATTCATGAGATAAAAGTAAATGATTAGCTTCATCATCAAAACCCCATTGACAAATAACTAAATTTGCACCAGAATCTTTAATCTATTCAAATAAAATTTTAATTTTTAAGTATTTGATGTTTTTTTTTTTTTTTTGTTACATACTGATTTAATCATTTCAGTAAATTTTTCTTTTTCATATTCACGTAATTTTTTATAATCTTCAACATTTGTTATATCTAATTTATGTTTTGTTTTTGGTTTTGGTGGTTCAAATGGACATGTTAAAATTGCTAGTTTAGCATTACGAACTTCCTACAAATATAATTTTTTTTTTTTTGTTAAATTTCATATTGGATAAAAAGAAAAAAACAAACAAACTTTAGGCATTTGTGGATGTGAAAATGTTTTATCAACAACAACTCCTTTAACTAAAATTGTATCTTCAAGACGACCACCAACTTTGCCTTGAACTTTGATAAGTTCAAAATTGACATCACGTCGTTCCATATCTGCAACATTCATAATAGCACTAACAGCTATTTCAGCCATTTGACGTTGACATCGATTGATACTATATTAAAGTATATTATTTTATAATAAAAATAAATTTTTTTGTTTTACATTTTTGAACCAAGTGTTGTCATAGCTGTATTAATTAATGGATCAAGTTTTTTTAAATCAAGTGGATAAGATTCAGCTATTTTATCCAAATGATCAAGTGCAATTTTTGCTGCTAATTCATATCCATCTGCTATACGTATTGGATGAATACCTTTATCAAGTAATGCTTCAGCTTGTTCAAGTAAAGCACCAGCCAAAACTATTTTAAACGAGAGAAAAATAATAACAAAGATTCATATTGATAGGACCATGTCGAATAAAATCAACTATTCAAAACGTTTTGCACAGAAAATTGTGATAGAACTGAGTACGAATACCGAATATTTTGCCTAGCTCTAAATTGTAGTGCATCGCAAATTGATTTTATTTTCTGAGAAGCCATAAATCGATTAAGGGATATCATAGAAATTGTGTGAGATATAACACAATATTAGGATCTATATCGAATTTTATAATTTTTGTTTTTTATGATGTTTTATATTATTCGAGATTGCTTCCAACCGTAATAGCAACCAACTGTACAACTTTCTCAGAAATTGTGTATCACCAAGCTCTATAAGTATACCAATTGGTTATTCTTTGAATTGATGTGTGTCACGGTAAAATCAGTCAACCAATGCCTAGAAAAGGCCAATTTTTCGCTTCAAAATTTCTGAGAAGAGAGTACGGGAATGAATAATTATATAGATAAGTTTTTTTTATTTTGTTCTTTGAGAATTTAGATTCTGAGTAGCCGGATGTGATCAAAGTATAATGATTCAATATTTATTCGGTCTTTTATGAGAATTAAAAACTTTGTATATTTTCGTACGTCTTCCAAAAGTCTAAAGATAAAAAACTCTTTTGCCAGTTTCGAAAAATTCATATATCTCAAATAATACAATATGGTGAACTTCTTATGAATAGACAGAAACTCTTTCATTCAAAAAGTATTTATCACAAGACTCATATACTTTTCACGTCCTTAAGAGAATCGAAAAATTGACCTTCGCTAGACATTGATTGATTCGACCATGACGCACATCAATTTAGAGGATAATGGATTTGTGTACTTATAGAGCTTGGTGACATGCAATTTCTGAGAGAATTGTAAGTTTAGTCGTCTCTATCCTCAGGAATAGTGTCGAATAATTTAAAACACGAAGAAAACTATTATAAATATTATTAAATATACAAGATTGCAAACGAGAGAAAAAAAACTATTGAATTAACTTTAAACAAAATTTTATTTCAATAGGCTTAGATACGAACTGAATTCTAATATTTAGTTTTAATGATCTACTACTGTTACAATATTCTTTAATTGGTTTATAGGATAAAAAAAAGCAATTTCCTAAATATCATTCGATATGTTATGAGTTGCTCTATAAATTGATATCGATGACAGATGTTCATCTTATCCGACAGGTCTGTTTAATTAATGCGAAGATAACTCACCAACAACACCGGTTGTACCATCACCAATTTCATCATCTTGTGATTTTGATAATTGAACAAGTAGCTTTCCAATTTCATTTTCAACATGCATCATACTAAGTATTGTTGCACCATCATTCGTTATTGTTATATCACCATCAGGTGATACCATACATTTATCCATTCCTTAAAAATAAAATCAATAATATATAATCTATTAAAATGAAATTTTACAATATACCTCGTGGACCTAATGATGTTTTAAGTGTATCAGCCACTGCTTTGCCTGCCAATATATGAGACTAAAAGAAAAATAACAAGAATAATTTCTAATAATTAAAAATAATTCATTAATAATAACCTTGTGAGCCTCGATTCCGAATAAACGTTTTTTTGATTCTTGTCCTTTAAGTATGAGTATCGGACGACCAAATTCATCGAAAGCAAGTGTACCTACAGATGGCATTTTGTTTTAGAACGATTGATCTAAATAAAATACATAATTAATGATAATCAATAATTGTAAAAACAACAAAAAGTAAAAAGATTGAAGTAATAAATCCATTACTATAATTACATCTATTATTTGTTTTGTATCCAATCCCCTGTTAAATAATTTTATACGTTCTTATACTAACAATTGGTAGAACGTTTAATTACTTGTTTTAATATATATTAATTTATAAAAATAAAATTGAAAAATTATTAAATTAAATTATTCAATATGAACTTCATATATTCAAAAAAAAAATGCAATTAATATTTCAAAAGTAATACATTACAGAGGCCAGTGCTTAGTAACAATTAGTTGATCAGTTTAATAATAGATGGCAGTGAACATTCATAGTTTTTTTTTTCTTTTGAAACAATTAAATATTTGATTAGAAATTTCAAGCAATGAACAAACGTTCGACACCAGGTTAAAGTAGGAATAGGTTTTTCGCTTTTGTGTATTTCATCATATGGCATATTTATATTAGATATTTCATTTTATTCTTGTCATTATAAAAGTTTTTTTTGTTTGATGTTGACAGGATCTCAACAGCAACGACCATCTGCTTCACATCGATCGTCGTCTGTCGATGTACCACGTAGATATTTTTAAATCTTTCATAAACTTTTCGAAAATATGTAATTAGGTTCAACTAATCGATCATTGATACCAACAAATTCTCGAAATAATGCATTAGAACGTGTAGCACAAAATCCAATTCGTTTTCATGAAGAAAATGGAATGATGGTTCCTGATGGTAAATTTTTTTTTTATTGAATATATTATCATTATTATTCTATATAGGTTATACATCAAGACAAATTCGTCCAGCTGCACGAGCTGATGTTGTAAGTAGATTATGTTTTTTTTTTTTTTAAAGAAATTATTTTATAATCATCAAAGGTAACAATGGCTCGAGCAATGAATCGTGATTTTGCTCCAAAAGCAAAAGCAATGTTTCAAAGTGAAATTGATGCAGCACGTGATGCTATTGAACAAGATCTTTATATAAGTTATCGACAACCAGGAAAAGATTTTGATTGTTATCGAATAGGATCTACTGGAAAATGTTTTTGTGGTCATACACTTAGTGAACATATTAAATTTACTGGTATTGATTATTGAGTAGTTCGTTTTTTTTGTTTCTTATCAATTTATTTTATTTTTCTTTTTCATACATTAAAAAAAAAAACAATAGGAAAAACCAATCGTTTAAAATGTCAATCAACTAATTGTGTATGTGAAGCATTTGCTTATATTCCATCACGACCAGATGAAGTTGGTGAATTTTGGTTAGCAAAACGACCCGGTTTTGATATATCAACATGGCGTGCTAAATGTAAATGTGGTCATGCACATGATCGACATGAAACAAAATTTAAACGATGTAAAGGTTTGTTATTTTTATTTTTTCTTTTAATTTATTTAAAAAATATTATTATTATTTTGTTTAGAATGTAGTTGCAGTAATTTTATTTCAAATTTTTTATGTGCTGCTTGTAATACTCATTGGGAACAACATGAAACATTTTTTGAACGTGGTAGTGAACGTGAACAACAAAAATTACCAACTGGAGAATTTTATATGCCATTTGCTGAATTACCAGATATGCAACAAGTGATATTGACAGGATCAGATGCACATATGCCAAGTCCATATTTAGATGCAGCACCAAGACGATCTATTCAACAAGGTGGAGATGTACGTGGACGAGCAGCTGCATTACGTAAGTTTTTATTTTTAAATAAGAATTGAGAAGTATGATATCATGAAAATCACATTATTGTTTTTTCGAAGAGAAATATGATCAATTTAAGTTTTAATACGAAATTTAGCAGTTTCATGTACACTCAAAAGTAATGAGGAAGAAACGAGGCAAACAAAAAAAAATAGAATGCGAGTAATAAAAAGATTCTATTGAAAACGTGAAAATAAATAAGATTCATTCATTTTTCATGTTATGTGTTTTGTATTAGTATAATGAAAATGAATTATAAAATAATTCACAATTTATATATCTTATCGAAGAGACTTTTTAAAAAAAAAGTAATCTATCAGCGTCTACAAATAGCTTTTTTTCTTTTTTAGAAACACAAAATCGTGCAGCAATTGGTTATGAACAACATACAAATCCATCAACACGTAATGACCGTGGTTCAAATGCAAGTAATAGAAGTCCTGTACGAGGTCCATTACGTGGTAGTCATCGAGCAACTGAAGAATAAATATAAAACAAATTTTTTGATAATATGACCGGTGCCGCTTGTTGTTTTATTTCTTTTTTTAATATGTATATTTCACTTTGTAACAGTTATCCTAGCTTATTCACTCAGTGCAGAATTTTGGGAGCTATGAACACACGCAAAAATTGTAGTTGTTTTTTTTTTTAACAATATATATACTCAATCATTTCCTTTTTTGACAGAGAATAAAGAAACAAGACAAAAAAAAATAGTCTTGATATCATTTTTTAAACATTATACAACAGTATGACAATAGATTACAAATATTTCATATGATGAGTTTGATCGTTTTTTTTTTTATTTGAACTAAATCAATGTTCTTTCGAAGTATTACTTTGTATAACATCTGTTTTTTTTGTTTTGTATAATGTTCTCATTGCTTGGATCGTTTGCAATTATTTGATAATAAAAACTAAACTTTCACTATTAATACAATATTAAGAAAAATACCGTTTTCCATTCATTTATCTATTACAAATAAAAATGGCAAATATTAATTTCACCCTTTTTTTTTCTAATATCTAAAAAGTAAAATTATTTTTTTATATTATTCTTTATAATCCAAGCTTCCCATAACATTGTGTAATGATATTTAATTTGATGTGTTCTTTCTAATGCTTGTTCTATTTGACAATAAATACATGATGATTCAGTTATAAAACTCATATGTGATCCGAATTGTATAATTCGAAAGTATTGTGTCATATTATTTATAATAAGAGAAGGTAAAATTTCAAATTCACAACCTTCACAATTAATACTAATCATATCAATTATTCCATATTTTGTTCTTGTTTTTCGAATATTTTCAATAACTTGAACAACATCAAGTAATTGAATTTGTTCAATTATTGATGAATTTTTTCTGGATAATTTTCGAAAAATACTTGTACCAGTATTATCAGTATCAAATGGTTCAATTGATAGATTTCTTGCTCGATTACCAAGTCCATAAGATTGAATTTCTATTTTTGAATTTTTTTGAAATTTTTCTTTTAATATTTTCGACATTTTTATTAATGGTTCGAAACTAATTATTGAAGGATTATACAATGTAATAAATTGAGATGTATCAAGTCCAGTATTACCACCGACTTCAATAATAAGTGAAGATGAATTTAATAAATCTTTAAAAGCTGTATGACGTATTCCTTGAACAGGCCAAAAACTATCATCTCGACTTTGTTTTAAACATTTTTCATATTTTGTAATATTAATATAAGAAAAATTTTTCCAACTATCACAAGAAAATGTTCCAACAATAGATGGCAATGTAGAACTAGTAAATGAATTAGTTAATATGGTCAAATCATTTTTGAATTTTAAGAAGTATAACATTGGAACACAAGTTATGACAATTGTCACAACAATAATAAATTTAAAACGTGTACTCATTTTAAATAATAATAATTTTCGACTAATGAAATCAATTTACAGATAGAAAGAGTATTAATTTTGATGTAAATATTTTTTTTTTGCTTCAATAGAATAATATTATCTAAAAAAGAGAATTGTTTTGAATAATTACAAGAAACAAAAAAAAGGATTCTGATCCATAGGTTTTTCATATAGATCTTTTACTATAGGACGATATATTGATAGAATAATTTGAACGTTAAATACTTCAAGAAGGAAGCGATCGTTGTGGCTAGAACTTTAAGAATATTCTCAGGATGATGAATAGAGCACGTTGATATCACGAGAATTCGACTAGGGTTCAGATCCGAAGCCATCCTGCTTAGCATTAATTTAAAAGTAAGACTAAATTCTTGAAATATCTCAGTCAAGATTGCCCTAGAAAATATGTAGGGTGTATTAGTTGTTGAATAATTCAAGTTCTTTAGCAATACCTCGCCTTATAGTAAAAGTCTAGCAAAGTTATCACGAAATCTATATGGAAGACTTGTAGGTCGGAATCCTTTTCGGTTTATTCTATTCTAAAGAATTCTTCTATAGAACAAAAACATGAGCTCAAAACTGATAAATTACTGAGAGAAATTCTCCGTTAGAAGAAATTTCTTAGTCAAATCTCTAACTTTTATTAATTCAAGTGCGTTCTCCTGCTAAATAAAAAACTTATGTAGCAAAAGAAAATGTAAACGAAAGCATATTCTTAGTAGATAAAGAAAATACAGTATTCAATTACAAAAAAAAATAGATAAACGGCGATAATCTATGAAACTATTGGTCACATTTCGACAAGATACTAGAGAAAAAAAAGAGAGAAAAAGAAAGTGAATATTCGGTAAATATCAAAAAAATTTGGTATTAATTTTAGCGCACGTGAGAAATTGCGTAGACAGAATTGTGTCAAATAACTGCAATAAAAGAATACAAGAGAAAGCAAAAAAAGAACATAGCCCTTGCATAGAACAAGGCAAAAGTGACCAAAACAGCTTCAAAAGTCGTTAAAGGTTCAAAATAAATTGAACGAACCATGTGGCAAAATTGAGTGTAAAGATACACACATGAGAAGAATGTTCACTTTATTCTTGGTCAGTTCCTACTATAATAGAATTTAATTTGTCTATGTACATCTGTCTATATGTGTGTCAGTGATCGAGAGAAGAGGAAAGGCTATCAAGTATATCAGTCGTGAGAGAAGAGATTAGTTACATGTACAAAAAATGGACAGACATCCAAAGAATGATTTCAACGTGAATGAGTACAAGAGAGATTTAAAATTTGTTTCGAGTTTTTTTTTTTTTTTATAATTTAATTAAAGATGATTGCTTAAAATACAGAAATTGATATATTGCTATGAGTATAAAATTAGTATTAGTTTTCTATTATTATTATTATAGTCGATAATAAATAAGAATTATTATGATGTATTATTTTATATTATGATTCACTGTGTTTATTATTATTTTAAGGCTATTGTAATTTTAATTATTTTTTCATTAATAATTTATGAAGTAATTCTATATTACTTGATTAATAATTACTTTTATTTATTTCTTGTTAACAATAATAAATAATAAATATTGTTACTTATTACTAAACAATAAATAATAATAATAATTTAAAAGTAACCATTAATAACAAATTATAAATTATAATATTGTGACAAGTTAATATCGAAAGAATATTTATCCATATATATATATAAAGAATAGATAAGATATTGATATATAAATATCA